ACAACTTATAACAGTCAAATTTGGCTACTAAATAAAAAATGCGAAAATCCCTTAACAGAAAGATAAAATTTGATCAAATCGAGGCGCCTATTAGACACCCTATTCGGACAGGGCCTACGTGGCTCTGTCCAAGAAGATTTATCCTTTTTTGTTGGACCCTATATCACCTACTTATATTGGAAACAACATTTGTATTTATTTTATTCTATTAAAGTGGAAAATTTTATGAGATGTTGACATGCAATGCAAGGTAGATACGAGGTTTTATTTCGGCTTCTCGGAGGATTTTCGCATTTTTTATTTAGTGGCCAAATTTGACTATTATAAGCATACAACGTATTTTATTTTTTGTATTTTTTATTATTGTTATTATTATCATCATTTTTTTATTGATTATCCTTCTATGTTTCCTTTCGATAAAATTTATTGGGCGAAAATTTTCATTCCAAAAAAAGTGAACTGTAATATTTCAAATCTTATTTTTAGCACTAAATTTAGCATGAGAGTGTAAGGAATATCATAGAGACGTGGTCATGGATTAATTTTTGTGATGACCTCTTAAACGTAATAGAATAACAAAATTAGTGCCTTGGTCACCAGCTTATCAATATAAAATTTCAAAATCAAATCATGTTGAACTTAAACTTTTGTCGACATCTTTCTTGACACTGTGTGATGTGGCCGACAATTTGGACATTCATTGGAATGATAATTATTCAAATCATTGGTTAAATTTTTCACACATCAGACAACATCAATGACAATGTACCATTTGAATATATAAATAGCATTATTATCCAAACTCAGCTCGTCAAAATTGAATGCAAGATCAAATTACTAATGTTGGGACAATTAGTATAACTCCCTCTGTCACACCTGTTAGAAACATTATAGCACACTTTTTTAGAATGAAAATATTCGCCCAATAAATTTAAATGAACAGAAACATATAAGAATAATCAAGCAAAAAATAAATAAATAAATAAAATACAAAAGCTTATGTTAAGGGATGTGTCATCCCACATCGGTTTAATACCAAAATAAATACCAATTTATAAAAATGGGGTTTCTCCACTTAATAGGGTTTACCTTATTAAGATGGACCCCAAGTCTTAACATGGTATCAGAGTCATCTGTGGATTTCAAAATTGATCTGCTCAAATGAGTCACCATCTTGAGGGAGCCTGTTAAGGAATGTGTTATCCCACATTAGTTTAATACAGAAATAAATACAAATTTATAAAAATCTTGGGTTTCTCTACTCAATAAGGTTGACCTTATTAAGATGGACTCAAGTTTTAACAACTTATAATAGTCAAATTTGGCTACTAAATAAAAAATGCGAAAATCCCTTAACAGAAAGATAAAATTTGATCAAATCGAGGCGCCAATTAGACACCCTGTTCGGACAGGGCCTATGTGGCTCTGTCCAAGAAGATTTATCCTTTTTTGTTGGACCCTATATCACCTACTTATATTGGAAACAACATTTGTATTTATTTTATTCTATTAAATTGGAAAATTTTATTGACATGCAATGCAAGATAGATACGAGGTTTTATTTCGGCTTCTCGGAAGATTTTCGCATTTTTTATTTAGTAGCCAAATTTGACTATTATAAGCATACGACGTATTTTATTTTTTGTATTTATTATTCTTATTATTATTTTTTATTGATTATCCTTCTATGTTTCCTTTCGATAAAATTTATTGGGCGAAAATTTTCATTCCAAAAAAAGTGAACTGTAATATTTCAAATCTTATTTTTAGCACTAAATTTAGCATGAGAGTGTAAGAAATATCATAGAGACGTGGTCATCGATTAATTTTTGTGATGACCTCTTAAGCGTAATAGAATAACAAAATTAGTGCCTTGGTCACCAGCTTATCAATATTAAATTTCAAAATCAAATCATGTTGAACTTAAACTTTTGTCGACATCTTCCTTGACACTGTGTGATGTGGCCGACAATTTGGTCATTCATTGGAATGATAATTATTCAAATCATTGGTTAAATTTTTCACACATCACACAACATCAAGGACAATGTACCATTTGAATATATAAATAGCATTATTCTCCAAACTCAGCTTGTCAAAATTGAATGCAAGATCAAATTACTAATATTGGGACAATTAGTATAACTCCCTCTGTCACACCTGTTAGAAATATTATAGCACACTCTTTTAGAATGAAAATATTCGCCCAATAAATTTAAATGAACTGAAACATATAAGAATAATCAAGCAAAAAATAAATAAATAAATAAAATACAAAAGCTTATGTTAAGGGATGTGTTATCCCACATCGGTTTAATACCAAAATAAATACCAATTTATAAAAATGGCGTTTCTCCACTTAATAGGGTTTACCTTATTAAGATGGATCCCAAGTCTTAACATGGTATCAGAGTCATCTGTGGATTTCAAAATTGATCTGCTCAAATGAGTCACTATCTTGAGGGAGCCTGTTAAGGAATGTGTTATCCCACATTAGTTTCATACAGAAATAAATATAAATTTATAAAAATCTTGGATTTCTCTACTCAATAAGGTTGATCTTATTAAAATGGACTCAAGTGTTAACAACTTATAACAGTCAAATTTGGCTACTAAATAAAAAATGCGAAAATCCCTTAACAGAAAGATAAAATTTGATCAAATCGAGGTGCCAATTAGACACCCTGTTTGGATAGGGCCTACGTGGCTCTGTCCAAGAAGATTTATCCTTTTTTGTTGGACCCTATATCACCTACTTATATTGGAAACAACATTTGTATTTATTTTATTCTATTAAATTGGAAAATTTTATGAGATGTTGACATGCATTACGAGGTAGATACGAGGTTTTATTTCAGCTTCTTAGATAATAAATAAATAAATGAATAAAAATTGATGAATTAGCTTCCACTTGAAAGAATTTATAAACATTTTAATTCATAAATGGATAAAAATAAAGATGTATTTTAATTATGGATCCATTTACATTGTTGAAAATTACCAATGGAGGCTTGCTGTTATTGGTTATGAACTGACAGCAATTACTCGAAAATTCACTTTCTAAAAACATATATCCAGAAATTATTGTGCATTAATTAGTAAATACTTTTAGTTATATAGCTTCAGACTTCCAAATAAATAATTGGCCGCAGTTAATGTATTCTATCTTGAGCAAAGTTATTTTAAAATATTTCGAAAGATAAACTATTAAGAATGTGACGATACACGGAGTTTTGTCATGGCATCGGAGAAGCACCTCTCTCCCTTAGTCTTCGGTTAGACAAGCAAATACAAAAGTTTGAACCACTACATTTTTAATTATAGCACGCCGCTTTAGAATGAATATATCTATTATATTCACCCCGCAAAGCTGAAAACACGTAATGCGAATAATAATCAGGAAAAAAATGAAATATTTGTCACATGCAAATGGTAGTCAAATTCGGACATTTTTTGAAATAATAACCTTAAATTATACAAAAGGAATTCGTTGAGAAGTTAAAACGAAATATCTGCCAATGCAAGTTAATATGTGCAGATACAAACTCCAATATAATTATCTGAAATGCTAATTTTGTTACCTTTAATACAACAAACACAATAGAAATTGAATTCCAGATAGCACCTGAAATAATGGAAATCTAGCTTCTTCCCTTCAACTTCNATGAAGAATTGATCTGATCAACATTGCTTAGTTTTTCTAAGCATGTAACAGTGACATGTTACTTCAACTCATCAAATTTAATTTAACTTTTGGGACCTCGTATAAACTAATCTAACAATTAGTTGATGTGCCATATTACTGTTAGCTAAGCAATGATGCTTAATAAATTATTTCTCATCTCTTTTTTGATCACATAAACGTGAAGAGTAAATTCTCCTTTTAGCTATCACCTTGACTTCTTTTGCTTGATCGATAAAATAATACACTAAGTATAGCAATGGGACAATGATGCACATAATAAGAAAAATAAACTAGTGTTCAAACTTTTTCAATTATGTGTACCAAACATAAATACATATATATGTATATGTACGAGTGTAAAATATGGACTTGTATGCTCAATACAAATAATAGAGTAGAGAATTGATATTTTATTTTGATATTGTGAAATGTCAGTTGAAATAATTAGAAATTTGCCTTCGAAGAGATGACTTTGTATTTACACACACACACTCACACCTATATAGTAAATAGTGTGATATTGATCAGTGAACTTGTGTTCTTTTGTCATTTGTTTTAGCAAACAACAACTTTGTTCATTGTGCACTATCCCGCGTAACAGCCGAGCTCGAACAATATGGCATATAATTAGTCCATGAGTGAAATGATAACTTAGAAATAGCAAATGAGGCGATCGTGTGGGTAACCATATTTCTCTCTCGAGGAGTGAAGTTGCACATGTCACTCCCAGTTTTTACCAAAAGTGAAGTAATCTCACCTAGAAGGGAAGCCTTAGGCACTACTCCGTGTCTGCATTAAGGATTGAAGTCACTTTCTGTTTCAATGATTCAAAGCCATTCTTAGAGTCTTCAAATTCGAACCTCTATTGATTTTCATGGATTTTTAATAAGGATATTTGAATGCTTTCACAACATGCTTTTGTTATCTCATTTGTTTATGGATGATTTTGGATCTAGTTCAAAGTATCCTCTCTCTATAATCGGAATGCTTGACGAGGTTTAAAGGACATATTATTTCTTTACTTGTGTAAAAAAAAGGTTATTTATTTAAACAGTAATGGGTCACTTTCAAATAAAGTTATTCATTTTCAGCTTTGACATATAGCTTATTTCTTACTAGTAAACTTACTCCTATGTAATATTTTAGTTTAGCCAAGTATGACCTAATAGAATTGACTTGTACACATTATATTGATTGGATCAAATGGCTTCTGGAGCTCATAATTGTCTTTCTGGACGAGAAAGTAATCATATGCCACTTTCCCTTGGGTAACAAGTGTAATAATTATTGATTTTATATAATACTTGAATCAAGATTCTTAATGACCACGCTATTCACAATCTCTATATTGCAGAAATAATAGATACAAGTTTACTTACATATCAGGATCCGTGTGATGAAAAAAAAAATGATGTAGTTTTTTAAGTGCAATATCACCTAATAAGCCGGCAAGCTAATCCTCACGCATGTAAAACACACGGTATATATTATGCATAATAACTCTGCAAATAAATATGATAGCCGTACACTAAATTAACGATGTGGACCCTAGGCTACCTAGACCCATTCTCGTTGCACTAGGGATTCTATGGACAAGGATTTTGAGATATTTCGAGGACTTTTTGAGTCATTATAGAACAAAATTACTTTTAAAGTTCTCGTGCTACTTGCACAAGGCATTCTGTTAACGTTTTCCAATGGCACTACTCAATATTTCATTCTTTTAGGGTCAAATACCTTCTCCTTTCTTCCCTTTTTACAAATTAACAGACACAAGGCCAAGCATGGAAGTGACACTGGAACTTATGTCACTGGAAGAAGGTTGAATACTGGTATACGAGTACGACAAGCTTAATCTCGAAGAATTGTGGAATATTATAACAGAAGGCAATCAACAAGCATTTGATATCTTCCGATGGTCTGTAATATTCAATTTTTTGGTCTGTAATATTCAACATAAGATTCAATTTGAAATTTCACCTGAGAACAGATTTTGGTTGATGCTTTTGGCTTTGACCACGAGACCCCAACGAAACAGCACAATTCCCTCAACAAAGATTTGCCTTGGTGATGACCTGTGAGCAAACCTATTTCATTTCATACGAACTTATCAGGTTGGGATGAATTCATTAAGAAAATTACAGCCCACTTTTATAGAATGAAAATATTCTCCCAGCAAATTTGGAAAAACAGAAACATAGAAGGATAATATACCAGTCAAATTTAGCTACTATATATATACACACACACACACATACATACATACATACATACATACATACATATGTGTGTGTGTGTGTGTGTGTGTGTGTATGTAGTAGCCAAATTTGACTGGTATATATATATAAATAAATAAATAAATAAAATACCAGTCAAATAAAAAATACAAAAATCGTCCAAGAAGCCAAAATGAGACCTAGTATCTACCTGGTAATGAATGCCAAACTATGAGCATAAAAATTTCCCCATGTGGATTAAGGGACTCTCCCCGCCAAGGACTGAAGCATCAACATTGAGTTTGAAAGAGTCAAAGGGGGGTGGCTTCCATTTGAAATTTCTCCTGGGAACAGATTTTGGTTGACGCTCTTGGCCTTCGACCATGAGACCCAAACGAAGCAGCACAATTCCCTCAACAAAGGTTGAGCAGACCTATTTCATTTCATACAAAATGGACTAGAATAGGCAGATGATATGGTCCAGCTCATCCGAACTGCACCTCATGGAGAGGTTATTAAAAGCGGTTGTGCTACATGTTTAGAATAGTTCCCAAAATGGTTCACATACAAGTGATGTGATGAGATGTGATTAAGATAAAATTTCAATAATTAATGATAACAATATATTTTATCGACCCATAATTTGTATTAATTTTTTAACTACGCATTTTATTAATTTTTATCAAAACTTATTTAAAAATTAATTTTTAGCTGACCTAAATATTCAGAATTGAGGCTCGTTGTCCGAGCTGGAAATATCACTTCTATGCCACCAACGAGACGGTTCCACGTGGTAGAGAAAATCTACATTTTAGATAAAAACGTAAGCCACCAAAAAGTTAAGTGACTTGGCAAATTTCTGTCCATTGGCAGCTGCCTTGAAATTACCTAGACCCCTCCTTTGTAAGAATAAAACTAGAGTTTTTTCCCCCCCTCAGGGCACATCCCAACTAGCAACGATGAGGGGCGCTTCAAGGCTGGTAGATCA